ATCTTTGAATAATGATAAAATTTAAGTTTCAACTTGGTCCAAAAATCTCTTTTTGCACAACATACGAGGGCAACAACGGTAACGATGCCAATATGAATTATCTATCCACCCTAAGATTGCCTGAAAAATAACATGGGGATCGATAAATTCTATATGCACTCATTATATATAATCTGTCTTTAATGAACACACTAATTCATATTGTAAAAAAAGTATATTCTATTACAAGGTTTATAATCCCACAGATCATACAAATGTCAAAATCCCATGATGACCCAAATTATTTTAATTATAATATTTCTCATAAGAAAACAATATATAACGATTTTAATTAAGAAATGTTAGAGAAAATGGCCAAGACAACAATTTTTGTGAAACATCCTCGGTCCTCTATTAACAAAAAAAATGAATTTCTATAGTCATTTTAAGGATTATATACATTATTTTCAATAAATAAATGTTATATACTATGTATTTTTTTTTAATAGCAGTTTTTAAATGATGTATAAACATTTGTTTTAAGTTGGGTAATTGCTTTATGGCGAAAAAAGGATAAGTTTATAGTTTTTATTCCAAAATTATTCAGACCATTTTTTATAAAAAATAAGGGCCAGTTTTGAAGAAAGCATATATAAATTCGAGCCTCAATACCTTAACGGTTTTTCCAGAGAGCGGCTCTAGACTAAAATTAGCCTAAAAATTAGCCTACTACTTTTAGCCATTAACTAATTATTTTAAATAGGCATTGTTATTTTCCAACTTTCTCCAGGAATATCACATAATAGTGATAAAAAAAATATTTAAATTCTGGTTTTATATCAGTATTTCAAATTTAATTGATTGGGTAACTTTCGAATTGTTAGAATATGATTCGGAGTGCAAGGATAAAAATAAATTGATATATTTATACGACTTGGATTCTGTAAAAAAAATGGCAAATTATTTAAAAATGACATAATTTAACAATAACTTTAAAGATAATATATTCCTAAACAGGGAAAAACCAATTTGTGTGAAAGAGCTATAAAAAGTGGTTTAAAAAAATATTATTTATAACAATATAATCAATCGAATATTATAAATAAAGAATAAATGTAGTTTCTAAGATTTTGCCTAATATAATAAGATTTTGTTATCCGAGTACCATATAAGATAACCCCCCCCCCTCCCAAATATTGTACAACTTTAATGAGCTATAGTAGCTTAAATTTTTTAAAAATAAAATTTTTTTTATTATTATACATACCATACATAACCAAAATTATCGATGATTATATAATATATAAGCCACTCATCAAAACCACGACCTTCGATTTGAACAAAAGATAATATAAATAAAATAACTATATTAATATAATAAATTATGAATATAAATGCTAGCTTAATGATAAATAGAAATAAATCAAAATAACTAGCATTAATATTTAAAACGAATTAGAAACCAAATTTGCCGGGACAACTGCGCAAAATTATTTTATGGAGTGGGCCAAACCGAAAATCTCTACAGAAATCTTCAAGAGCTGGTCCACTAAGGGTTATCATTTTAATTTTAATGAGAGGAATAAATTATATTTTTAGATTTATCTATAATAAAAGACCTCGAGCTTTCGGCTATCATATTATATATGAAAAATTTAGTTGATAAAATGGCTCGATTTATCCCATTTTAAATTAAGATTTTAGCCAAAATAAAATTACGCAAGCCTCGAGATTTCATTAATAGATGCCTAATACTTTCTGGGTATCTATGAGAAAGATCTCCATGCTTGCGTATTTTTGACTAAAATATTGAGTAGCCGTTTTTAAAAATCGAGCCGTTTAACAACCCTACTTTCCATTAAATATCGGAGAAATGCAGTTCCATATCAAATCCCTACCAGGATCGTAAAACGATATGATTTACAAAAAAAACTAAACTATACCGTAAATAATAAAAAAAATTATGAAAAAAGGTAAAAAATTGACAAGATTGAAAAAAAATTAATATGTTGCTTATATTTTTCGATTAACTTTAAAAAAAATAAGACAAGGCCAAAATTATTTAAAATGATTGACAGTGGGCGGATTAGAAAATGGTAAAAATTAATAATAAACCCAGTCCGGTACTAAAAATGTGCACATCTGCAAGCTGATAAATATTAATCAGGTTGTGGAAATAAAAATCTTGATCATCGCGAATAAAATATAGAATTTTTCATAATTAATACCTAATGCAGGGATAAGCAAACTCGTCATTTGTACAATCGTTCTATATTTAAAAAAAAAATTTCTAACTTCGATTCATATACCCCCCCCCCACCAATAATTTGTATATCATCATCTAATGATGCAAAATCGCTCCATTTAAGCCGATTTTTAAAAAAATGATAACTTAATATTTTTGCCAGAAAAATATTTGCTAAAGTTTAAATAATAGATATCCAAACTTTTGTGCCCTCTATGATCAAAATCTTCAGACTTGCTTAATATTTTTCTGGTTAAAATATTAGCTGTTTTTAAAATCTGGCTAAAATGGAACGATTTTGCATCATTAAAATCATCCGTCCTTCGTTTTATAATCCAGTGTGAATTCCGATTTCTTATATTGCCCCGTTTTAAATGATATTATATTATTTGTAACCAGGGAAAGAGAGACACCAAAACGACTTACTTAATATTTGCAAAAAAAAAATATTAAATTTATAATATTATATCAAATAACAATTATTCGTTTTTCATTCATTAACAATAAATAAAGAGGACTCTACTTTTTTTTAAAAAAAATACCAAGCTCATCAATCCATTTCTTTATTTTTTTTATGTTTATATATTAGTAAGATCGCAATTCAGTCAATAGGCGTAATATCTTATGAAATTGTCAGAAATTTATAGGATAGGGTATTTCTACGTCGAAATACATTTCGGAAAAATAATTCGATTATTTTAAATTATAAAAAAATAAATAGTTTTCAGTTGGTAAATAGCACATTCATGGGTTTTAAAAGTGTATTTTTTTAATTTTAACAATCTGATTTTGCAAAATATGTATTCCGCCATCGTCATTTAAAATTGGAATGAGTAAGGAGGTAGTTTTGATCAATTTTTTCTTTTTTTTTGCTAATTTAAATTTTTTTTGCTAATTTTTTATTTGTATTTCATTTTTTTTGCTCATTTTTATTTGAATTTCCTTTCATAAGGGGAGGGGTGTGTAGGGAGAAATTTGTCTGGCTTTGGGTGTGTTAAAAAGGTCAGGTCCAATCCGTCTTAGAAGGAAATCGAAATGGACGGACAGGTCTTTCTAATTTTTTAATCTGGACTAAGATCCGGAACCGGTCTTTTTGCCTTATTATTCAATTCATTTCTTTAATAAATTTTTATGTATATTTTTTTTATTTTTTGAGAAAAAGTTACTTTAGTTTTTGTGGATTCATTACTTTTTTAGTTCATTTTTATTTTGCAATATACTATTGAAAACGAAATATTTGTCAAAACTGCATTTTACTTTTAAATTAAATTTATATTATTTAATATTAATATTTTATCTGTTATTGTTAACATAAAATACTTATATATTTAATTAAATCATAAAACAAAAATTACATTAGGAAAAAGTAAAAATATTTTTAAATAATTAAAAAAATTAAAATGTCGATCTTTCTATTCAGTACCACCGTCTGGACCGGTTTTTATTTAAGGACCTGGTCCGGTCCGGTTCGTGCGTTAAAGACCGGGCCATGACCTTCATTAGTGAAGTCGCTGGGTGAACTATGGATTTTGCTAGGTGTAATTTGAATTCGAATTTGGAACTAGGATCTCAGAACCGGACATCTAGGAACCCGAAACCATTCTTTTCGAATTTTAAAGAAGCAAAACTTTTAAAGTTGAACAAATTTAAATATTTTCTTCAATGTAACAGAAACTGAAACCCTCTGATCCGTGTCAAATCTAAAACTAAACCGGCCATTTTTTTAAATTGGGTTTGCATGTCGATTAAATGACATCAATGTGAATTCATATAATGATAAATAAGCCAGTTGGTCGACGTGCAAACCACAAGACCCCTAAGGATAATGAATCACTAATCTAATAGTATATGTTACACTATTTGATTAATGTCTGATATAATTTAGTTAATGATTACCTCCAAAATTTATTTGTAATGCATTTCACTCAAAACTATCAAATTCTTTTAACAATGTTAGGGAAACTAAATAGTGATGTTATATAGCTTGTTTTTATATAAAAATTTTAATTTGTTATGTTAAAGTTTTATTAATTTCCTGATTCAGGCAAAAGAATTAAATCATTTCAAAGTGAGGCGCGAAAATTAAATTAATATGATTCAATTATCTGGCAGCGCCGTTTGTTAAAACTGATAAATTGCGTGAAAGCATAAATATGTTCAAATGTATTTATCAAACGAGTAGAATGGAGGTGGGAATAAATTTAATGATTGAAATTGAATTACAGGCTCAAATTTTTATACGCCTCCTATGTATAAAATCGATATTTCGAGTCTCGAAAATAATCACAAAATTATTTATTTTAAAAAAATTTTAAGTTTTTAATTTACGATGGGGAACAAAAAAATTAGAAATAACAAATTAAAATTATCTTATATCATAAACTTGTTTACGTTGACAAAAATTCTAATCTATCATTATCATAGGTAAATTATTTTTAAGAAACCAAGGAAAAAAAGATACTCAAATTAGTAAGGTCTTTCAGACTGTCATAAATTAGATAAGTTACTGTTGTGTATATTTTCTAAATTATTTTTAGTTTTTTTAATTTTAAGCATAATTCTCCTTTAATGATAATTTAATAATAAATTATATCAACTGATTTATGAAATGTTTTTCTGTTCGAAAAATGAAATAGATTTTCAAACAAAAAAAATTATGATTTTTAGAGAAAAAAAATATAATTTATAATAATATAAAGGCCAAGAAATATAAAATATAAGCTTTAAAAATAAATTCCTAAATAAAATATTTTTTTATTAAATATTTTAATTATCAGCGATCGATTTTATAAAGAGGAATTCAATAATAACTATAATAAGTATTCCTTATTTTCATTTTCTTGTCTTACTTTACTTCACAACTTATATAGTGTATTGTGTAGTAGTGCTTTAGTGCAAATTTATTTATAAAAGAAAAAATAATTTTCAATTCAATCATTTATCAAAGTTTAAAGGACGAGGTAAACGCATATCTGCATATAACTGGATAATAATATCATGACAAGAAGAATAGAGCCGATGATGGCAGAAGAGCTAAATAATACCGAACCGATCAAATTAGTTATCATGAACCGAGTCGATCAAATCTGGATAAACAAGAACAAGCAGAACCGATATAAACAATCAAGAACAAAAAGAACAAAGCCGTTGAAGACAAAAGAATCTAAACCTCGCCGAATCGACGAAGTCAGCCAACCTAAACTGAGCTGATCAATCCAGGACAAGAATAACTGAGCCGATAATGAAATATTTCTAAACTAGACAATGGATAAAATATAAAAAAATTCCAAAAAAAATAAAATTAAGAATATTATATTTGCATCGCTAAATTTAAAGTCTGACATATTTTTGAGTGGTCCGATTACCCAAACCTAAAACCAGGGGCATGCTGATTTTTTAAAAAAAAAACTAATTTAAACTATATCATTTAATCAATTGGAAATCATATATTAAATAATTCCAAAATACAGCTAAAATTATGCAAAATAACTAAGCTGATCAAAATATTTAAAAAGGGGACCAGGGAAATAATTTTTAAAAAAAAGGTAAGCCAAGTATAAAAATATTTTTCACGGTCATAATTCTATCGAATAGCCTTTTATTTATGATGTAGATATTTCCATCCTTTAAAAAAAAATTTTTTTTAATAAACATTAAGATAAATATATAAAATATTTTATTTATAATAACGTAAATTGAATTTAAATTTCATCAATTTTTTAAAAAAAACTTATATTTCATAATAATATAAAATCCATCGTAATTTCAACATTATAATTTTCCATTTTAAAAATTTATTAACCTTATTGTATTCTAAATCCAATCAAAACATTTTAAAAATTAGGCATTTTATATATCGATATCGATAATGTAAAAGGCTCTAGATCAAGAACTTTAAAAAAAGTTTCAACCATGGATCACCATCCTATTTTATTTTTTGAAAAGATAGAGAATCGATTTTTTTAAGGGTATCATTTAACAAGTCTGCTTATGATAGGAGCTATCAATGTTAACCCCATTCCACTCAATTATAATTCTTTCAAAAATGTTTTTATAATTTGTAAAAAAAACACAATGCTATTTATTATATCCTGGCTATATATTTTTTTAAACCTGATTTTAAAATTAAAAGTTCTCTTTTTTTTACTGTTAATTTGAAAGATATATACTATAAGCTTCTTTTTTTTAAAAAAAAATTGATTTCAAGAGTTTTACATTAGAAATTTAAAAGAAATGTTTAAAATATTATTATTTTCAAGGTAAAATTATAAAAAAAATTTTCAATATTTTATTCATAAATCTAATGCATATATAGTATGAAAATTCTAAAAGATTGCCATATCCAGAGTAACTAATGTCTATAATAAATATAGTTAATCTCTTGTAACCATTTTAAGTGAATTATAAATTCAAAAAATAATTATATTCTACTTACAACTATAGCTTTCAGTAGATGATTGTGAAAATGAGCGACTTCTGAACCTGGTTCCTCGATTAGTTGCAAATTTTGCCTCCTTTATTATAATTTTTTAAATGTGATATAAAGGTATGCACATGAACAATAATATTAATAATATTAAATATCAAAAAAGAGAATGGAGGGGGGTTATAAAATGAAAAAAGGTTAAGATACATAATCTAAGTTACTTTAGACTAATAGTTATTTATATTGTATAGTTAGATATGAATTGCCTAATTTTTAACATCTAACAGGATCACAATCTTTTAGGTTGTAAAGATAGAGATTTTCTCTTTTAATATATCTTGTTTAATATAGATTTGAAATAATATTAATTTTTTTTAAAATATGTCATAGATTAATTTCATACATGAATAATCCTTCTACATTTAGGTTAGACTGCTCTAAACTAAATTTTACAATGATAGTGATGGTATATTATATATATAAATCTATTACTATAAATTAAACAAATAAAATATTTAACATTCTCCAAGACATATTATTAAAATAAAAAACATTAATTAAATCTTATAATTATTTGAGATAAAAGAGTAGGTAGCAGTGATAAATACAAATTTCTTAATCAATTGTATCCCTTACATTTTATTCAGCTTAGATTTATAATTTTATTTGTAATGACATATTATTTAACACTTGAGAATACCCTTTTGAGACTGGAATCTTCATCAATATTTTTAGTTCGATCTAGGATTTTAAACTTAGGTGAGGTCAATGGTTGTTCTTCAGTTGCAATTTCTGGTATAATTTTTTTCTCTGATGAAATTTTCTTAGAATCCGCTGAATTACGAGTTTTAGGACTTGTATCCATTCTTGAAATTTCCCCTAGGATTAGCTATTTAAATAAAGCCTTCAGGTGGTATAATATTTCGTAAAAAATATTATGCATGTTTTTTTTGCGCCCTAAAGTATTTAAATTAAATTATATTTATCACCTTAGAGTGATATTCCTGTTTTTAACTATTAATATTTAATTATGCATAAGATCTTGGAGTATAATAAAGATTATTTAATTATATTTTACAATTAGTTAAAATTTATTGTTTCAATTATCTCTTTATATATTTATTTTTTTTTATACACATTGTCATTATGATATATCAAAAACAAATTTGATTACTTTTTCAAGCTTTGGAGCCTTTCTATGTAAATTTTTTACCCAAACGATACCGTCTGGGCTTTTTATTTCTGAGATAATATTTGAGGAGTTTTAAACGGGCACTTATCCTCAGAGCATTGCGAAGGGGTTATTGGCAGCTAAGCCTTTTCACCTCTCCCCTTTTTTTTGCCTTTAGCTCTCTTTCAAAATTTTGAGAATGGGTTGAACCCGCTTACCCACCTTCTTTAAATTTTTTCCTATATAAAAATTAATTTTTATAAAAAAAATTTTTTCATATTATTTTATAGCCAAGAAAATAGAGAAGCTAAAAGTTATATTTTTCAATAATTTTATTTTCATCATTTTTATATAAATACTTATAAGCCATTTCGGATTCTTCTTTATTTAAAGTATAGATCCCCACCAACAAGTAGTGGTAATAATTAGTTCCATTTAATTAGTTTTTGCGTATACTCTAATGAGGTTAGACTTAATTTTTAAACGGAAACTATCTAGCCTAAAAGATATATTCCTGCCTCTAGGCTTAGCACATTTTTTTAACCGTTAGGATTTCGCTGATTTAACAACATTACGACTACAAGGATAATCCAATTCTAGCAAAATCTTTTAAATACAAATTTAAAATTTTCAAATAGGTAGGAATAAAAATATTTGGTGGGATACTATAGTAAGTTAACACAATAATCAGTGGAGACTTTATCATATTATATGCATTCATAGTTTATTCAAAATCAATAAGATATAATAATTTTCTAAGTTTTAAGATATATAATAATTATAATCAGTTTCTAAAATGTCCTATTGCGTTATTTATTTAATACTCATGTATTACATTTCTTCCAAAATCTCTTTGATAATTAACAGTAGCTTGTGATAATTTAATGGAGTAACTGTGGCCCAACTATTTCTGTAACTGTCAATGAACTTTTATAAGTCGGATTCAAACGATCTCAGCTGTAGAGTTGTTAAAGTATCTAGATGATATCTAGATAGATTTTTATTAAAGTATCTGTTTCTAGATATTATTTTAAACGTATCTGTATCTATGATATACTTTTATTTAACGCTTTTTTATATTATAAATAAAAATACTTATGCAAAATTTATTTTATTTCATATGAGTATATAATTTAAATATATATATTAAAAAATATTAAGACTACAATAATAAAAAATTATATATCTATATAATAAAATATTAAAACTTATATATATAAATTTATATATATAAATATTAATTAAATATTATGTGCGATAGTGATGAAGAGGAAGAAGTAATAATCAATGAAGCATTAAGTTCAGAGACATTGTTTTTTTCATGGGCAATTTATAGAGCATATTTTAAATAATATCTCAAAAAGAAAACAGATCTCTGATAGTAAAATGTTTGCCATATCTACAAAAAAAATAGGAAAATTTTAGTGAGCATTACCCAATATATCTTTGGCATTACCTCAACTTGCAACATTGTACTAAATAAATGTTTACAATTGAATTTTAAATTTTAAGAGAAAAAATCAAACACTGTAAATGAAAAAATAATTAATACAAAGATTAGTTGATAAATTATCAAGGTTTTTAATTGATTGCAAACAAATAACCTGTAAAAAAAACAAATATTTAATAACCGATTTTTTTCAGTACTCCATACTCCATAGCACAGGAGTAGATATGATTGTTAATAATGATTTTTAAATTTCCAAAATATTTTATTACTGAAATCTAATAATTATTTATAATCATTTAATCATATATTTTCATATATTACAATAAAATCTAAATATTTTAGTTATATTTTGATAAATGTGATATCTAGTCAATAAAGTTTTTAGCTCATTTCATACATGCAAAGCTTATATAAGACTATTAAAAAATTGTATCTGTATCTAGATACATTTTAAAAATGGTATCTGTATAAAGATAACTTTTTAGACCATGCATCTATATCTGGATCTAGATAACTTTTTATACTATGTATCTGTATTTAGATCCATTTAAAAAGTACCTTTTAACAACTCTGCTTAGCTGATGTGTATGATTTCTCTTTTTCAAATGTAAGTCATGATTATGACTTAGTATTTCATTTTCATTTTCAATCTCGTGTTGTGAGCTTGTCCCATGTCTATTTTTCTTCACCCAGTAAATGAAGTTATTTATACTATAAATAAATATCTGCTGTCATTATACGACAGACAGTCATTTTACAACAGCCGTGGTCGGAGTAAAATACTGCGTTGTAAAAGGATTGCTGTCATATTTTTCGCTACAAAAGCATTGGCGGACATTTTTTTAAATGAAATTATATGTTTTGGGATTAGAATGATTTCTGTTAATTCTACTGTCAATAATTACTCGCTTCAAAAACATTGATGCCAATTTTTATAAGAAATCAATGCTTGAAAGTAATCAAAATTAAAATGACTGCGAATAATATGACTGCTAAGAAATATAATTACTTGCTTCAAAAAGATCGGAGGCCATAATTGGATTTAAAATTATTGCAATTAATATAATTTTAAAAAAAATTAATATTAACTTCTCGATTCAAAAACTTTTGTAGCCATACTTTAATGAAATATTTTTAGGATTAAAGGACTTTTAATAATACCAATTTCTAACTTCAAAAAAATAGGCGGACAAATATTATATTTGAAAACACTCATATTTGTCTTATAATTAACTATCCTTTGCTTAGGGTTTAAAATACTAAGAG